GTTGTGGAAGGAAACACAGCTCTGGAATGGGTCTGACCTCACCACATGTTCCATCCCTCAGGGCTGGAGCAGTGCCTACTCCATCGAGTCGGTGATCATGCAGATCAGTGCAACACTGGTGAAAGGGAAAGCACGAGTACAATTCGGAGCCAACAAGGTAGGGCACAGCTGGGGAATGTGGGTGCCAGGGCAGAGGTGGATGGGGGCAGAGCCAGGCAGGGCTCACCCAAGGTTCTCCCTGCCTTCCTTCCCTTGCAGAACCAGTACAGCCTGACAAGAGCACAGCAGTCCTACAAGTCCCTGGTTCAGATCCATGAGAAGAATGGTAAGGGCTGAGAGCCTGTGTTTCCCCCTGCTTGTTTGGGCTCCCTGGCTGAGCTGCTGGAGTTTTATCCTCCCCCAAGTGTGGAGGTGACCCTGAGGGTCTGCTGTAAGGCAGAGTGTGGCTGCAGCCTGCTGCCCTGCCCACTGCCCCGTGCTGGGCTCCTGCAGCTGTAACTGGAGGCACCACCTCACTTAACACTTGGACTTGATGATCTGAGAGGTCTTTTCCAACCTAAACAATTCCCTGATTGAGCAGTGTCAGGAAGTGACCCGGAGGGAAAGCCTCAGGGAGATGTGGCCCTTTGCAAGTGGCACTTGGCTGCTTCCAGCAGCTTTTCCAGGCACAGATTCCCATTCCCTATACAGCTTCGTCCCTCACAGCTCTCTCTCCTCCCTGTAGGCTGGTACACACCACCCAAGGAGGATGGCTAGCACAGACACTGCAGGACCAACCTGATCATCTTCTGGATGCTCTACTTGGATCCTACTGATGCCTCTTGGCTTTCTCCCAGGATGTAACAGCTCTGCCTGTTACAGGACAGTACTGGCTCTTCAGAACTCTAAATCAAGCTGTTCAAGCACTTGGGACTGCCCCAGAACACTGCTGGGCCCTTGCTAGCAGGCATTCTTGTTAAAACAAACTCTCGAGCCTCTTGTATCGCTGGAAACTTTTGACTCTACTCCAGTCTAGAGCATCCTCCTTACCTATGCTATGGATTTAATTTATTTTCTTATTTCATGTACACTGCTTTTTTTTGTTACAGTGTATGATGGATGTGTATGGAAAATGTATCTTTGGAGAAAAAAAAAAATTACAGTTTGTTAATTTGAGGATTCTGGTCTAACTGATTGTTTCCAAGCTGCTGCTGGGTGGGTTGTGCCCTGTGAGCTCTGCTGCAGCCCTGGGCCTGGGATGGGGCAGTGGAGGGAGCTGTGGTGGGCCCAAGCCCTGCAGGAAGAGCTGCAGCAGCTGCCTTGGAAGAAGAAAAGCACTTTTGGGTTTTGGCCCCATCTTCCCTCAGCCAAACCCAACTTTCATCTTTATAAACTGCAAACCCACAACTCTAAGCACAGAAGGCTTATCTGTGAGGCTTTTCTCTGTCCTGTGGTTTGTGGGTGCCAGCTCCCACCCCAAGCTTCTCACCATCCTCTGGCCAAGCAGTGAGAGGAGCAGAGACCTGACTGTGCCCATCCCAGAGCTGTACCCCTTTGTCTCTCCTCACTAACCACACGAGGCTGAACCCCTCATCCCTATCCCTGCTGTGCTGTGGCTGCAACCTGCTGCAGGGAGGGGAGTGTGGGCACTGCTCTGTGCCCCCTCTGTGCCCACCCCTGCACAGGACCTGCTCTGACACCCAGTTCTGTGGGGTTTTCTTTCACTTCCCCTCTGGAAGAGCTGGCTTCAGAGCTCCAGCCCTCTGTGGGTGGTGTTGCTGCAGTTGTGGCTGTTGCCTTGCATCCCCCCAGCTCTATTCCTGAGTCTGCTGGAAGGAGATTTGGATGTCAGAGCTGCTCTAGCTCGGGCCGTGTCCTCGGCTGAGGGCAGAGCTGACGCACTGGTGTCAGAGCTGGGACCACAGCTCTTAATTCACTGTGTTTGAATAAAAGTTATTAGAAAATCAAAGAGCCTCAGAAGTCCATTATCTCCTTCAGCAGCTGCTCCTCTGTCCTGCTCCAAGCCTTGGAATAAAAAGCTGCTGTAGGAGAAGGATTACTGATTGCTGTAGGAGCAGCTCTGGCCTCGGCTAGGACTATTTTAAGTGCTTTGCTGAAGGGCCAGAGGGTTTGTGATTCTGAGCAGCTCTGCCCTGTGTCCTCCTCCTGATGGGCTCCCCCCAACCCTGCTCCCAGTACCTGGGGCTGAGGGGCCAGAGGTGGCTGTGCTCTGCTCCCATCTTGAGCTCAGGAAGCTACTGGGCAGGGAATTCAGCTCGTTTAATGGTTTAAAATATTAGTAGAGTTTGTTTTCGGGGAGGGAGTTCAGCTCGTTTAATGGTTTAAAATATTAGTGGAGTTTGTTTTTAGGGAGGTTGAAGCTGCTCCTCTGCCAAGCCCAGCGCTGGGGTGGAGTACACTGAGTTGGTCGGGAGCACACACTCCCAAATCCTGGTGGCTTTCCAGGCCAGGGGAATTGCCGGGCGCTCTGCGTGTGTGGCTGGGATGCTGCCCCGGCAGGCGCTGGGGCTGGAAGCTCGGCAG